AGGCAGATCTGTAAGAGCACCAGCAACCAACCTATTAAAATACTAAAGTTTAGAATGTTTGTCCCAAAGAGCATTACACAGACATTGACCCAGTCCATATATAACCAGTTTCACATTAGCAAGTACTTTTTTAAAATAAAATCTTTCTTTCAGTAGCAAAGATTAAAACATCTAGGAGCAAGTCTTCCAATCAAGACTTTCCTGGAGAAAATTCTAAAGAAGTTACTATTTTAATTAAAAAGTTACTCAAATTATTTTCAATAAAGAAGATTACTGGAAAGCTGAATGAATAGACAGATACTCTTTGCTCATTAGTAGGGAGAGTATGACGTAAAGTTGTCAGTTATCCCTTTAATTTTCAGATCATTGTCCCAGTTGAAATCCTAGCAATGCATTTGTTTATGAAGACTGAAAAACTGATCCTAAAATTGTTGGGACCATAAATAATTTAGTAATAATTTAGATGAGTTCCAAAATAACTTAACCAGAGTCTTGCTGTATCAGACAGAGATACACAGAAAAAAGCCCAGCACAGGGCACATGCCTGTAATCCCACTACTCTAGAAGTACTGAAGAAGCAAGACTCCAAGTTTCAATCCAACATGGGCACCTTAGCAAGACCTCGTCTCAACAGGACTGGAGGTGGGACTTCAGTGGGACTCCTCAGTACCTAAAAAAAGTAAAAAGATAGAACTATAGTAGTTAAGATGGTATTATTGACATAGGAATGTATAGATGTGTCTAGTGGTAAAAGCAGCACAAAAATAGGCCAAGTTGGGTAAATGGATTCCTTGAACAATGAAAGAGGAAAAGACGTATTAGTTTATTTGATGAATTGGCAGTTTATTTTGGAAAAATACGGTATCATTAATTAAATTATTTCAGATAAAGTAAGAATCAAATTTTATTTGTTTAAAACAGATTGTATAGGAGATAGCTACAGTCTTATAAAGATAAGCTTTCTTAAAATAAGCAGAAAGTAAAAACTTTAAAGGAAAACAAATGAATAAACAGGAAACAAATTAGGAAAAATACCTACAAGAATTTTTTTGCAAACACCTAAATGCATACATACATAAGTAAACACACATACCCTACAAACACTAAGGAAAATCTAACATTCAGTAGAAAAGCAAGTAATATTCAAGGCAAATGAATATAGAGAATTCATAGATGAGGAAATTAAAATGGTCAATAAACATGGAAGATTCTCATGATCAACAATGTAATCAGTTCTCAGTACATAAAAGTGCAAGTGCTTGATACTGGTTCAGCATAATGAAGTATTAAATGAGTGTGAGAAAGTGGAATGTCAGTGAGTATTTCAATCAGAAATGAATTTGTCTTGTGCTTTAATAGTTCTCTTTTTTTGCAGAAACATTGACTATATGATGTGTGTACAGAGAAAATGGGATGCCCATTCTTGCATTGTATGTGATAGATGAAATTCAGAAATAATCTAAATGTCTGTCAGCAAATGAGTAGGAAGCAAGCAGTGTACTTGGTAGCAATTAAAAGGAAAGAGTTGGATCTGTATGAGTTGTAATGGATAGACCTCAAGAAGGATGATAACATGAAAAAACATAGAATGATAAGTATATTAAAATCAGGTATTTTGTGCAAGGCTCTCAGTTCAGTCCATAAGACCAAGGAAAGAAAAGCAGATATTTTCTGTTTATACACATACTAATAAATAGGGGGAAAAGAAGTCAGCATTGTGTAGCAAGGGGTTGACAAGAGATAGTTTGACTTCACCTGTAATATTCTAATTATTTTTACAGGAATACATACAAATATTACTGATAAACATTTTTTATGTTCAAAGAGTAAACTCTTAGAAGCAAATACAGTACACTGCTAAAAGAGGTTAATTGTGGGTAATTGTTTCTGTATTGTGCATTTCTGTGTACTGTTCCTCACTCCTCCCATGAAGCTAAGAAATATTCTTTTTCCATTTTCCTTGTCATTTTCTGGACAGTTTGTCGTAAAGCCAGAAAGTAATACAGAACAAGTTAGACATTTGTGCCAAAGGAAGGGTGCCCATAGAATGTTGGAACCCACGGACAGTGAAACGCAAAAGGGAGTCTCCTGTGTGGCAACTGCAGGGCACCAGCCTGAGCTGTGTGAAGCCCATGTGAGGTGCTGGCTAGATTAAGGGCACCGTAGGGAGGGTAACCTCATGTGGCAAGCGGAAACCAAGTTAGTTTGTAGACGCAGCCTGGTGTGTGGATTCAGAGCCTGAGAGGAGATACCAGATATCAAATAAGATACCGATCTTAGATAGTTTGAAAGAATAACATGAATGAGGAGCTATCCAGTGTGGGAAATGAGAGCATAGAGGGGTTGAGTAGAGTGTCCTGCACAGGGGTGGCTTGATGTGGGATGTCAGAGGTGAATGAGTTCTCCTGGGTGGACTGGAGAATTGATTAGGGTGTGACAGGGTAGATGGTTACAATAAGGTATTGATAAAATAAATACATTAGGGATAATGGAAACAACGTTTTTCACTGTTGGAAGAGTTCGCATTTGGAAAGGAAGAAAATGAATACTAAATGAATACTTTGGTTATGTTGGAATTGGAGGTATTGATGTGAACTGGTGGGTTTCAAAATGTAAACATAGATATTTCTCCTAGATCTACCCAGTAGCATAGCTCAGAAACAGCAACATCTCAGTAACCATGAACACACCTAGGGTTTGAGAATTATTTTTATTTCTATTTTCATTCCTGCTTATGGATCTCATTTTTTGTTTTTGTAATTTTTATTTTATGCTGGACATTGAGATCCTGACTTTGTTGAATGCTTGGGTCTTGTCTCCTTTAAAGAATGACTTTTTTTTTTTTTTTGGTAAATGAGCAGTCAGCTTTATAATATCAAAGCTTTTTTAAGTTTTGTTGGGAAGGCTCTTGAACACACTCGTTAGTTGGTACTGATTCTTAGATACAACTTTTCTGAGGTCTCTACTGACTACTTTGTATATTCATTAAGGTTTCTCTTCTGCTCTGGCAATCATGTCTTAATTCCTCTCTGTACTTACTGCACTTTGAGGATAATTTGGGTTTTGTACTTGTTTTCTGCTTAGCCTTGTGGAATATACACACAAGTTATATTTAGCCAAAATTTGAAAGATAGCTTTTTGGAGCATTTTTTTACTGTAGATCTCTCTGATGCTTTTTGCTGAAAGTTTCAGTCAGTTCTGCCTTTTTGAACTCTCCTTGAATTCAGTGAGACTTGGACCATATTCTTTATTCTGGAAAGTATATTATTTACTGATCCACTAGTGAGAACCCAGATGGAGATTCGTATAGCATTGTACTAAATGCAGTCCAAAGTTTTTTTGTGTGTTTTTTTTTTTTTTTGTCTTTTTCGTTTTTTTTTATCGGTACCAGGGATCGAACTCACGACTGCCTGCTTGCAAGGCAGGCGCTTATGCCGCTGAGCTAAATCCCCAGCCCCCAGTCCAAAGTCTTAAAACAATTTCCATGTTTTGTCCTTGTTTTCTAGGGTGTGTGGGAATGTGTGTGGTAAGAGGGCAGTTTGTTCTCCCTCTTTATGTGACAGCTACTTCCCTCACCCCAGACAAGGTATCACTGTGTAGCCCAAACTGGTCTCAAACTCATCTTTTTCCTCCTGCCTCAGCCTCCCTGAGAGCTAGGATTACAGGTATGCACCACTATGCCTGGATTTCTTTCTCCTATTTGAGCTTACTTTGATTGTGTTACTTTCTCACTTAGTGTTATAAACAGTCTTGTGGGTGGCTGAACTGATCTAAGGCTGGGGATTGATAGTGTGTTTGTATGTGTGGTCGAAGGACAAAATGAAGAAGATACAGGGAGTGCTGGCAGGAGAACAGCAGAAGGAAAGCAGTGATTCTCGATGAAATTAAATATTCTTTCTGGACCATCTTACTACTAACTACATAATTGTCTAGAGAGAAAACTGAAGGCATTAGCGATGCAGTAGATTGTGAAAAAAGGGGGTATTGTAAGGAATGTCCCAGCCACTATATAAGTTCCTGCTTTCTGATTTTCTGACCTTGCCCTTCGCCGGGTGTGTTGTGCTTACCTGCTATTTCACTGGACAGTGTCTTGAACTTGGCTTTTTTGTCCTTATGAGCAGCAGGTCTCATATCTGCTTGTGTTCTGGCTTCAACCTTCTGTCCTCACACTACCACTTTATTCAATTTCACTTCTTAACGTGAAATTCTTCTACCTTCTTAACGGTAGTGTGATTGTTTTTCAACATCAATTTCTACACCCTCAAGATTATTTAGCCCTTTGTTTTCATTGACTCTACAAAATGTGTTCCAAATAAAGAATTACTAGCCTGTTACCGACTGCATTTTTTAATTTTCTCTGGGACATTGCCTGCTCAAATATAATCCCTATTGCTGAGTAAGGATCCATAATAGTGAGTTACTAGCTTGTATTTCAAGTTCTAGATTTAAAGAATATTTATTAGATTATTAGTCCATATTTCACTCTCGTGTTTATTTGGGGATGTGGAAATATAAATAATTCAAAATACTTAAGAGGATTTTCATTTCAGGAATGTGCAGAAAGATTGCTGAAGGGCAACATCTGACTTAGTGTTCAAATGTATTTTACCACCAGTTCAGTAAAATCAAAATGCATTGGTTTTTTGGTTGTGGGTTTTTTTTTTTTTTTTTTTTTTTTTTGTCTGTTTGAGTCAGGGCATCACTCTGCAGTTCAGGCTGACCTTGGGCTTGCTTTGTAGCCCAGTCTGGTTTCAAACTTGCAAATTATTCTCCTGCCTCAGCCTCCCAAGTGCTAGGATTACAGAAGTGCACCACCATGCTTGGCTTTTTGCATTGATACTAATTAGAAGCACAGACTAGATATCAAAGTAATGTGAATGATGCTTTTAGTTAATCAGTTAATGTGGATGAATACATAATTTTTAAAGAAAAACTATTAGTTTTTCTAATAATAGTCATGTTTCAATTTAATTTTAAAGTGTTTTTCAAATTTCTTACAGTAACCCTAAATCGGAGAACCAGAGAGTAAATAAAAAAGTCAACAATGATGCTTCACTTAGAATTCATAATCTATCCATTTTGGTGAGACAGATAAAATTTTATTACCAGGTAAGTGGTCCTTTTAAAAATCTGGTGTTTTAATGACAAATTACATAGTTACATTGCTACGTTATATAGATTGCATCACTCATCTAGCAAATATTGTTTGCCAAGTCCCAGTCTGTTTTCTGGAGATTCTGCAAGTACTTCATAATTGTCTACTATTAAAAGTGATTACTGCATTTCTTATAATATTTTTTAAATTAGTTCTGAGTTTCCTGACGACGCGTATAGTACATTTTCTTAACCTATATTAATTATGCTTTTGAAGAGATTGCTTTTTAATGACTTAAACTTAACATGTGTGCATATTTTAAGTTTTTAAGTATGACTGACTGTTCTTGTACTTTTTTTTTTTTTTGGGTCTTTTTCATTTTATTGGTACCAGGGATCGAACTCACGACTGCCTACTTGAAAGGCAGGCCTTATGCCGCTGAGCTAAATCCCCAGCCCCTGTTCTTGTACTGTTGAAACAAGGTCTCACAAGTCCATTCAGTCTGGGTTGAACTCAGTCCTGCCACAGCCTCTTCCTGCTGGGATTATACACTTGTGTCATCATGCTTGGCTAATATGAGCATTCTTGAGGTTACCATTATGTCTCTAATTATAGCTACCATTAATTTCATTTGTAATTTGTTTCATTTGTGAGTTTTTCTTGTAAATTCCAAACGTGGTACTTCTCAAGCAGTCTTTTCTGTGGTTTTGATTTTTAGTTAAACTTGTTTGTATGATTTGTTATTTGTTAATAATTACATGGCTTGGATTTATTAATTTTGTCTTTTGAACAAATTAGGCTCAATCCCCAGCACTAAATAAATTGTTTTTATTGTTGTTGTTTGTCTAAGCTAACAATTCCCAAATCAATGCTATTCTCTTTTTCTGTTGGATTATCTTATTTCTTGAAAAAAAATATTAGTGGAAGTCTTTTCAAAATGACTGTGGGATTTTCTTGTGTTTCATACTACCCTCAGAAAAAATATTTTAGTACATTTTGATTGTTCTGACTCACCAAAGGAAAATGAATTTGGATAAGTTAGAATTCAAATGTGAATGTCTCAAAAAAAGAACTTTTCATAGGTTGGTGAACATCAGGGTTATATTATGAAAATGATCTCAGAGATAAAACAAAATTGACCTAATTTGCTTAGATAATTGTTCATGTTGGAAAGGTTAAGAGGCATTATTTGAGTCTATAATGTTAGGTAAATTTAGAAGTCAGTATTATTTTGTCTAATTACCTAGAATATACAAAAGCACATTACAAATTACGATGTCATTCACATTTTTCCTCCCCCATTTATCAAATGCCAATCTACATGGTATTGGGGCTATCCTGTTTATAGTATGCCCTGTTTTTCACCAAACTTATGATTCTGATGGAGGGATAACAGCAACCAAACAACCTAATAAAATAATTTGATTGTGATAAATAATACAGATATTAAAAGTAATAGTGTGAGAAGTCTTGATAGAAGCTTGTTGGCAATTCAGACCTAAGTTTTCAGGTCAGCAAATAAATAAATTTTAACTTTTACATAAAAATACCTCAGTTCTTTGTTATTTTTTATTCCTGTGAGGGAAGGATACTGAATTTGAATATCAAAAGATGCAGTTTACAATTAAAAATTTGAGTCCAGTTTTAGGATTCTGTGGGAGCTGGTGTTTTGTATGAGTGTTTTGGCTGCAGTTTAAGTACTAGGAAAAAAATGATTTTACAACCACCATTAGAATAATGATCTGAATCATTTGAGACAAAAAATAAGAGAACTTTACAGTCAGGAAACTGAAATGTATTAGGAATGTTTATATAGTTTCATGTCACTAGTATTAAAAAACAGCTATAGTATCAATAGTCTAGTTTCTATAGAAAGCATGTACTTTTAAAAGTTTTTTCTTATAATCTGTGATAATAAGCAGCCTTTAGAATATTAATAAAATTCAGTAGTCAAGAAACATGGATCATATATATGTATGTATGTCTATCTCACATTTTTTCATTCATCTGTTTGATGGACGTGCAAGCCAATTCCAAGATTTGGCTATTATGAACTATACCAACATAAACATGGGTATGACATCTTTAACTCTTTCAGCAAGATGCCTAGAAGGGAAATATCAGGGTTGACTGGAATTTCTAGTTTTATTTTGTTTAAAAAAAATTGCTTTCCATAGTGGTTGTGCTAGTTTGCATTCCCCCCAGCAGTATAAGGGGATTCCTTTCTCTGCAGTCTTAGCAGTGTTTGTTTTATTGGATTTCTTGAGAATAAGTACTCTTTCTGGAATAAGATGGAATTGCAATGTTGTTTTAATTTGTATTTCTTTCATAGTCAGTTATGTTGGACATTTTTTTCATGTATTTGAGAAATATCTTTTCATTTCAATTTTCCATTTTTTAATTAGGTCTTTTGTTAGGGAAAGTTTAATTTGTTGTTGTTCTTTTTATATGCTATATGTTCGTATTTTTCTCGAGTAACTGGCAAACTTTTTCCCCATTCTATAGTTTGTTTCCTTTGCTGTGCAGAAGCTTTAATTTTGTGATGTTATTTCTTGAGCAGTTTGGAATTCTGTTCAAAAAATTCCCTTATCTGTGTCTTAATGTTTTTAAGAGCTTTATCTATTTTGTCTTCCAGAAGATTGTTTCTGTTTTCATGTTTAGGTCTAAATGCATTTTTATTTTAGTCCATGGTGAGGGATACAGGTCTAGGTTCATTCTTCTGCGTGGATGTAACCATTTTTCCCAGAACTAATTGTTACAGAGGCTATCTTTCTTCCAGCATAAGGTTTTTGCCCCTTTGTCCAAGACCAGATGGCTGAATGCGCCTGGGGTTGTTTCTGCATTCTGCTCCATTAATCTGCATGTCTCTTTTTGTAGCTTCGAAATAACTTGAAATGTGGGATTATTATGTCTCCTGCTTTGCTCTTGTTACTCAGGATTTCTTTTGCTGTATTGAGTCTCTTCCAGTTCCGTATGTAATGAAATTTTTTTTTTAAGTTCTATGAGGAATGCTGTTGGTACTTTGATTGGGAGTGCAGTAAATCTCTGTATCTGTTTTGGTAGTACAGTATGGCCATTTTGATAATATTGGCTCTTCTTACTCAGGAGCAGCTTTTGTTTTGTTTAGTTGTTTTTTTTTTTGTTTTGTTTTGTTTTTTTTTGAGGAAAGGTCTCGCTGTGTGGTCCAGGCTGGCCTGAAACTCCCAACATTCCTGCCTCATCCCCCAAGTGCTGGAATTACAGGTTTACAGGCATGAACCACCACGCCTGGCATCTTTTTATTTTCTGATGTCCTCTTTGATCTCCTTTTTTAGAGTGCTCTGACTTCTATGGTTAGGTATTTTACTTCTTTGATTAGGTTAGTATTTAATTTTGTTTGTTTGTTTGTCTTTTGTTTTTGGTTTCAGGGATTGAACTCACGACCTCACATTTGCCAAGCAGACACTTATGCCACTGAGCTAAATTCACAGCCTAGTATTTTTATTTTTTGAAGCTATCATGAGTGTTTTCCCAAATTTTTTTTTCATGGATTCACTTTGGTGTATAGGAACTCTGTTGACTTTTGTGTGTGGGTTTTGGATCCTGCTATATTGCTGAGTTTGTTAGTTACTTCTAGCAGTCTTTTGATGGACTTTTTGGATCTTCGCTGTAAAAGATTGTGTTGTTTTCTATATATGTTCCTTTTATTTCTTTCTCGTGTGATTGCTCTGGCTAGTTTTAAGTACTGTATTTAGCAAGAATGGTGAGAGTGGACATCATCTGTGTTGTATTCTTGATTTTAGAGGAAGAGCTTTCAGTTTTCCTCATGTAACACAATGGTGGCAGTGGTTTGTTGTAAATGGCTTTTATTATACTGAGATAAAATTCTTCTATGTGTTTTCTTCAGATTTTTAAAAAATCATACATAGGTGTCTTCTGCATATGCTAAGGTAGTCCTGTGATTTTTATTTTTTGTCCTTCTGTTTATGTGATGTATTACATTTATTGGTTTGCAAATGTTCAGCCATCGTTGGGTAAAGCCAACTTGATCAGGCACATGATATTTTTATTTTTTATTTTTTATTTTTAAAAAATTTTTATTTAAAGAAAGACTAAAAACAAAGTAGGTAGAAATAATACATATGTTCAGAGAAAAAAATAAACAGAAAATCACTAGTTGATGTTTACACATTGTCATTTTACACGTAGTTGTTCAAGGTACAAAAATGGAACATGTAAAGTGAGAATTCAGACAGTGAGACTGCAAACAGTTCTGTTCAACTGTCCAACAAAAACTTAGTAACATGGTTGTCAATCCTATACACTTAAACATACACGCAGTTGTCCATATCTACATCACATGATCTTTTTAATGATGTGTTGCATTCTATGTGCCAGTATCTTGCTGAAGATTTTTACATCTATATTGATTAAAGAGATTAGCCTGCAATTTTGTTTTTTATCTGAGTCCTTGTCTGGTTTTTGAATTAAGATAATGCTAGTTAACTTTCAGGAATGAGTTTGGTAGTATTCCTTTGCTTTCAATATCATTGAAGAATTTGAGGGGCAAGGGCATTGGTGTTAGATACTCACTGAAGTTCTTGTAGAATTCAGCAGTGAATCCATCAAATCCTTTGCTTTTCTTGGTTGCTACAGATTTATTATTATTATTACCACCTCAATTTCATTGCTTGCTACTGGATTATTCAGGTTTTTTATGTCTTCTGGTTCCATATTGGTAATTCATGTATTAAGAATCTAAGCATTTCTCTTAGATTCTCCAATTTATTAGAGTACTATACAGAGTAGTTGTTAATTTTCTGAATTATCTCCTTTTTTTTTTTTTTTTATGACCACAGTTCTCCAAATCCTTTTGGACTATATTTCTACTGAGACAGAATTTCTAGTTATTCTAATAACATTTGGCTTTAATGACCCTGGAAATGTTCAAAATCTCTCCATTTGAATCTTTACATATCTTTAAAACTTTTATTAACCTCTTAATCTCTCCCTGTTTTATTTTTATTTTTAGCAT